TTGTAATCCTTGGACTCGCACCCAAACTCTGGATTAGTCCCATCGGCGGCTCAAAAAGTCGAACCCGTGGGGATACCGGGGGGTTTTGATTCGCCTCAAAGAGGTAATTAGTATCAGTTTTCAAAAAAGAAAAAGGAAAAGATAAGAGACATATAATGGAATCCGTGTGTTTTAACTAAGAGCAAAGAGTCTATTATATAACTGAAAAGAAATGAAATACAAAGAGATATACATGATGTGAGGCTTTTAAACTACTATTTACAATACTCCTCTTCAAGCTGGAGTATATAGATCATATACTCCAAGCTTGTTACATAAATGATCTATCATAGGTCCTCTCAAAGACTTAGTGAATATATCAACTGATTGTTCAGTTGAGTTAACAAAACTAGTGAGTATATCTCCTTAGAGGACTTTTTCTGTAATAAAATGACATTCTATCTCATTGTGCTTGATCCTTTCATGAAACACTGGATTGAAAGCAATATGTAAAACAACTTGATTATCGCAAATGAGAGATGCTGTGTCAATGCCTCCAAACTTGAGTTTCTTCAATATTTGTTTTAACCAGATGAGTTCGCAGGTGGTTGTGGCCATGGAGCGATATTTTGCTTCAGCACTTGATCTGACAACTACACTTTATTTCTTGCTTTTCCAAGAAACCAAGTTACCTTCAAGGAATACACAATACCCAAAGGTGGATCTTCTATCTGTGGAGCATTCTTAATGTACATGAGGATACGGACCACTGCATTCCAATGATATTTGTAACACCCCGTGTGCACCTGGTGTATTAAACACATAATGGTAATAAGCGCAGCTAAATAATTGCGGAAGCTAAATTTTTCCAGTTATGAAAAATAATCAATTTACCAAGTGGATTTACTTAATTCATTTTCAAAAGTCTCATGTATATAAATTGCAATAAATAACTACACTGAATAACCTCATGACATAAATAATGCATCAAGTCACGAAGCTACAACACGTAGACCGGACATGTCTTGATACAATAGTACAACTCAGTCTGAATAAAAAGAGCTTATTCCAATGTGGCATTGACAACCCCCATGCTCACCAAATAAAGCAACATAACATCAAGTCATGTATCAAATACAATGGCCATAAAACATAACAGCAAGAAATAAATCATGATAATATGGCAAGGTGCATGCATCATCTCAACTCAACTCTGGCCTCCTGCCGCTAGAGGTATCAACCCCAGAAGTACTTGTACCTGAAAATGTGCCTTACACGGGGTGAAATCTCAAAAGAGAAATCTCAGTAAGATAAGGGGTCCTTAAGGATCTCTCCCCCCAAGCTCATTTACATGTGTAATACAAGTTCTAAAATAGTAACAACAGTATAATATCAAAATCTGTGCAATGCAGCATATGTCCATGTCATGTGTCTATGCATCCTACTGGCCAGAGAAAAAAATATAAGCATTACGTACGTCTACAACCTACAGTACAAGGAGTCCACCATGTACTTCACACACGGGTTTACCATCTTGCATGTGGCCTAACATGCTCAGGGGTTACCGTCTCGTGTGAATACCCCACATACATATACATATGACAAATGCACTAAAACATAATCCAGCTCAACAGCATATCATATTAACAGATATATTTTCAGAAAATAACACATCATGCATATAAACCATCCCTCCATGAGGTATGGTGAAACCACCAATGGTTAAACCGAGGACACGAAAGCTTACCTGTAGTGTCAAAATCCCTATCCAAAGGCTCGGTATACACATGCACCCCAACAGTCACACAATCCGACAATTGCAATCTGTTTTGTATGAAATCATAATTTAATATTCAGAAATCCCAAATTTCATATCCATTAAGCAATGTTTTCTCTTTCGTTTATGTAACACCCCGTGTATACCCGGTTTGTTATCATGTCATCGTATTAAGCTGCGCTTAATTAAATGTTGCGGAATAACTTTTTATTTTCCATTATGACGTCATTATCAATTACCAACTTGATTACTTAATCATTTTCAAAACAACGCCTGTGTGTAAATTGCAATAAAACATCTAATTGAAATACCACGTTAAATGTCTATAAACTGTGTCTCTAGTCACGGAGCTACAACACGTAGACCGGACAACATCCTGATAGTTTATACATCTCAAATCTAAATCAACAAAGTCAAATCAATGTGGCATGGACAACCCCCATGCTCACCAAATAAGGCAACAAAGCCCAACAAAGTCTCAGCTCAATAATCAACATAAAAACAGTAAACATAAACAGCATCCAATCATATCATCATAGCAGATATACAACAGTCAGCTCAGCTCCGGCCTCCTGCCGCTCGAGGTATCAACCCCCGAGTTACCTGAACCTGAAAATGTGCCCCAAACGTGGGGTGGGATCTCTAAAAAGAAATCTCAGTAAGACAAAGGGTCCTCAATGATTTCTCCACCCCAAGCTCACTTACATGTGCAATATAAGTTCTAAAACAGTAAAACAATATAAGTTCCAAAATCAGTGCAATGCAGCAGATATCTCATGTCATGTGTGTTGTAACACCCCGTATATATCCGGTAATGTTACCATACTATCGTATTAAGCTGCGCTTAATTAAAAATGCAGAATATCTTTTTCTTTTCAATTATGATGTCATTATCATTACCAACTTGCTTATTAATCAATTAATAAAACATCGCCTATATGTAATTGCAATAAAACAGCTAACTGAAATACCTCATAACATAGATAATATAAGTGTGTCTCTAGAAATCACGGGACTACCACAAGTAGGCCGGACCAACTAGCAGGTTATACAACTCCAATCCAAAACTACTAACATAAAGTGTCATGGACAATCCCCATGCTCACTCAAATAAGGCAACAAGCCCAACATCAGTCTCAACAACAACATAATCATAAATAACGGAAAACATAAACAACATCCAAATCCAGTCATGGCAGCAATACAACATAAATATCATAATCAGCTAAGCTCTGGCCTCCTGCCGTCAGAGGCATCAGTCACCATACTACCTGAACCTGAAATAAGCATTCCCCAAACGTGGGGTGAGATCTCTAAACAAGAAATCTCAGTAAGACAAGGGGTCCTCAAGGATCTTCCACCCCAAGCTCACTTACATGAAATATAAGTTTAAAAGCAGTTCATCAATATCATTTCTAAAACAGTGCAATGCAGCAGATAATCATGTCATGTGTGTCAATTCTATTCTACTGGCCAGAGAAATGCAGGAATAAGTATACGTCTATTACCCACAATTAGTGCAAGACGCCACTTGCATTCACCCCGGATCACCATATCGTATGACGCCACATACTCAGGCTTACCGTCAAGATGAAGCAACACATGCATATTAAAAGCCATTACACATAAAGCTCAACAGCATTTCAAATATTCAAAGCATGTAACACAACGTGCATATAACCACACCCCCATGGGACATGGTGGAACCACAACATGGCTAAACTGAGGACACGAAAGCTTACCTTGCAAGCTCGCTATCCAAAGCCAAGAGTCCTTACAACTCAAGTCCAACACACAGCAGATCACAATCTGATTTAGGGCCAGCAAGTGTATCAACATACATAGCTCAAAAGCATTAACATAAAGACTACGTTTCCTTTTACGTTTTACGTCTTAAGGCTTCTACAAAGCCATAAGCCATTAATCACATGATTCTGACTTAGTTCATTAAATACAGAAGTTCAACTTCATCAATCTAGGGTTCACAAACCCCCAATAGCCTACTGTACACACAGCACAGCTACTGTTCTACGAAATTCCTGAATATCCGGATATTCCTCGGGTGCATATCCGGATATCAATATCCGGATATCCAGATCCCCATATCCGGATATCCCATATCCGGATATCATATCCGGATATCCAATATCCGGATATTTCACGGGCAGATATCCGGATATTTCACGACAGAATGCAGAAACTGCATTTCGTGAAGATATCCTTCCAAGGTTGGGTTTTACCGATTTTAAACACTTAAACTTGCATTTCTAGGTGTGTTTGACATTACCCAACATTAAGTTATCATCTTTTAACCTTTACATGCATCAAGGTTCCATTTTTAAGCATCAAAACACAAGTTTAAGGGTTCAACCACTCACCCAAGCTTCAAACAGAAAAGAGGGATGCTCTTGGAGCTCACTACCAACACCAAAGGTTCTGACTTGGTTCCCAAAACGAAAATGGAGCCAAAGGTAGGTTCTTGCACCCAAAGATCACTTCTTGGAGCACCAAGTGCCAAGGCAAAAGCTCCACCAACCCCAACAACCCAAAATAGCAGCTCCACACACCAAGGTCAGCACCCTCAACTCAGAAAAATGCCACCAACACACTCCCAAAGATCACTCTCACTCACTACAAGTGTTTAGGAGAAGTTTCCATGAAAGAATAAGCCTCAAAGCTCAAGCAATGAAG